TGTTTTCCGTCCCATTTTTGCTCATTTCTCGGAGGAAAAATGAGGAAGAACGCTCATTTGTACATCATTCTCGACAGAAATAAATAGCCTTTTTAGAAAGTGAACCATGGCTGGGGAAATGTTGGCAGTTTTTTCAAAAAGGGCTTGAATTCAAGAAGTTTTAGATTTGCGTGGTTTTTTTTGAGCTGCAAAATCCACTTGATCATGACGCTGCTTTATTCGAAGTTTCTCAAGAACTATTCGAGCCACAGAATTCGTTTTGGCATCGTTGGATAGAGAATTGAAAAGTCGATTCAGTCGTAACAACGTGAGTAAGGAAATGCGAGTAGTTTTGGTCCAGAAAGCGAAATTTGAATATCAGACACTTAGGTGCAAGATTATGCCAAAATTCCATGTTTTCTGTCCCATTTTTGCTCATATCTCGGAGGCAAAATGAGTAGGCATGGGTAACACCGCTTGCCAAAAAATGAAAATTTCCTCAAAATGTCTTAAATTTTACATCATTTTCAGCTCACGGAAGCGGATAATGCATCGAACTCATCGAAAAACATGCCAGAAGTTTCAGTCCCGAAATAATAGATATTTTCGACACATTTTAAGCGGTTTTTTGCACAACATAAAAACACTTTATAAATGCACATTTGTGACCTTCTAACGTCGAAAGGAATCGATTGAGCTCAAAAAATACGCATGTGAAATTTTGATTTTTGGTGGACATTTTTCTAAAGGTCCAAAGATTTTTGCAATCGAGCGATCCTTATTTCGGATCTGAATATCTTCAGAGCCCATTTGGTTCCAAACTGTTGCAAATACAAATTTTCTTATAGACAGTGAATGTGTCGAGAATACACTTTGCGAACAATCTGATATTTTGAAAATGAGTTAATCGCGGTAAAATGCAAAGTATTTTGTTCGGGAAATCGTCTTTTAACCGATTTCAATATTCCGAAATGCAGTTTTTATTGAAAATCGTTCGTTTTTCAACAAATTTCACAATTTTCAAACCGGCCCGATTTTAACAGTTACGCAGAAAAGTTCCACATGCAAAAAGCTGTTTTTCCAAAAGAAAATCGACCTTAAATCCACAAAGAAAATTGTCTTTTTGACTTTCAAACTCTTATGAGGTTCAAGATTCTCAACAGATTTCAAGTTTGCAAAATACGATTTTTAGACCAAACCACTCGCTTTAGAACGAACTTTCAATGATCCAAATCGGGCCCGTATTAAGAGAGTTATTAATTTATTCATACTAAAGGATCTCATGCGCCATATAATTATAATAACAGCAAAATATCCATAATATGCGTGTCATTCGCGTTAGTGTTGCCATCATACAAAGTATTTATTTTATCTGAAATCTACCATTTTGAATGAGGTTAAGTGTTAAGTGTTGTTCAAAGTGCCGCGTCGTAAGAGGCCAGGTGTCGCGGCACATGGACACACAGAGCGGCATCAACACACAAGTGTCTTAAGACACAGTATTGCCCAGGCCTATAACACACATCGAGCTATTGACGCGTAGAAATTAAAATGAAATTAGAGTCGATTTATTGGAGAGAGTGATTGAAAATTGGGTCCATCGAATCCGCTTCTGTAGCAAAAGAGGTGGACATTTGAATGATGTGTTATTCAAAACTTAATATATATCTTAAAGTGAACTTTAAAATCAATACGTATGTTTGGATAGGAGTTTTTAATCCAGTCCCAAACCAACATACTTATTAAGTTGGGGGGTCGCTTCCAAGCACGTAAAATCTTCAAAATAACAAGAAGTTTTGCATTTATCTTAAATATTTTGTGTTTTCCCAATAACATAATCCCGATTGGAAACCCCTTTAGTTGGATAAAAATTGTTCTTACCCACACACTGAGTATCCACATTGTCCCATTCGCCCAGCTCGTTACAGGTGCGGAAAGGCCGTCCTCTTAACTTAAACCCTTCATTGCACCATACATTACATTTGGTGCCAGATGGTACCAGCAGGGCGTAATCTGGTCGATAACCCGGACAGCTCATCCCTCCATTCTGGGGCGGCTTCAAACTCTGGCACTGTTGAATTTCCCTTCTGCGGCACGTTTTTCCGTCCCTTTCAAGCACGTGTCCTTCTGGACAGTCGCATCTGAACGTTCCTGAAATTTTTCCGTTTCTAGATATGGTTTTCGGTCGTTGTTCATTCGTTACCCTTGTAATTTCGGCAAAACATTTCACAACCGCCGTTATCAATTTCGCACTCATTCACATCGATGCAGGTGCGGTTGTTGGGTTCCAGGTGGAACCCATGGGGGCAGGTGCATTCGTATGATCCAGGAAGGTTCCTGCATCCATGTGAGCAGTTGCCTCTGTTGCTTCTGCATTCGTTAATGTCTTTGCACACTCGCTGGTTCGGACGCAGCAGAAATCCGGATGGACAGCTGCACACTCTCCTGCCTGGAACAAGCTTGATGGTTCTGGAACAAATGGTTTACTGCTGATAGTTACCTTCAATGTTGCTGCAATAATGCGAACAGCCCCCATTCCGTTTCTGGCAAGGATCTTCGTCCAGGCAAAGTTTTCCAAACAGTTTGTATCCGGGAGGGCACAAACATTGCACTTTGCCGTCGTTGTGATGGCATTCGTGTGAACATCCACCGTTCTCTTCCTGGCAGGGATCCAGTAAAATGCAGGTGCTCGAGTCCAACTTGTATCCTGCAGGACATTGACATTGTATACCGTTTGATGCCACTGTGCAATTGTGAGAACATCTGCAAGATGATTGTCTTTAGACGCGTTCAGGTGTGGATTAGTCGAGTTCTTACCCGCCGTTGTCGATCAAGCAAGGGTTAACTGGCACACAGTTTTTATCCCCAACTAGATTGTGGTTCGCAGGGCAAGAACAGCGAACGGTTTGCGCTTCGCTCTTGCAATAGTGCGAACAACCGCCGTTGCTTTCTGAGCAAGGATTTTCTACAAAATATTTCCTGATTTAGGTCCGTGTGTGTTAAATTGTCCCATTATCCACTTAAAATTAGTTCGGTATAATTAATCCATCTGGGCGGGCAAACGCACGCTATTTCATAGACAGGGTCTTCTGTTATCTGTGAAATTAGAAAAATGATCGTCGTTTTGTGCAAGGGTGGCGCAAGATTATTGCAAAATTTCATGTTTTCCGTCCCGTTTT